AATATCGTTATGAATATTTTGTATTAAATAATTATAATTAAGATTAATATAAAATCATTATCATTAATTGTTTAAAGAATAATTTTTTATTACATTTTACTTATATATATATTACTTATATATATAAAACATATATATTTTGTAATTATTATAATATAATATATATAATATAATTATTATAATTTTGTAATTATTATTAATAAATTTGTACACTTAATATTAATTTCTTATATGCAAATATATTATATTTATAGATGAAGTTTCTGTCAGTGCTGTTTGCCGTTGTGGCCATTATTGGTTTGGGACAAACTCGCCAGCTCCCAAATTTCGGCAGTGGTTCTGTTTACGATGAACAGACGTTGGTAGAAGACGAACTAATAGATTTTATGAAATTTATACCGGTAGAGAAATGGACTGAAGTGATGACGAAATACATAAACGAAGATGTAAAAGTACAAAGCGCTCTGCTATATTTGTTTGATGTTGAATTCCATGATTTGCTGCGTTCCATCGAAGCTCTTAAGGAATATGACGCTCTAGTAAAGTATCTGCAGAATACAGGGTTGGATGTTATCAGCTATATTAAAATATTTCACAAAACAATTGGTATGGAAGATTATGTACCACCTCCTAAAGTAGAAAACATTTTTGAATCTCAAATTGGAATACAAAAGGTCGGTGATGGAATGGCAGGAATGATCAAAGATCTTTATGATCTGTTACCTATTGATAAAATTGATGCTCTTTACAAACAAAAGTTGGAAAATTCCAAGGTGTTTGCCGACTTTATTGCAGCGCTAAAGTCTCCAAAACTACAAGAAATAGTAACTAATTTGTATGGAAATCAAACTTTCAAGGATTTCGTCATGAAATGCAGAGAAAAGGGATTGGAATTCCAGGAATTGACAAAACTTGTGGCTAGAATATTTGGTATTCAATTCCCATACTAAAATTGACATGTGACATTTTAAACATATACTCTTAATATTTTTTTTTCTTTTATATTATTACATACATGCTGACCTATAATAACAAGAAAAATGGAATTTTTATGTTAAATAAATATTTCTTTCAAAAATTATAAATTATAATTTCATTGTCTTATAATGAGCAGTTATTTTATTTTGTGTAATTTGAATATCGAAATAAAGGGCTAGATTTGTATTAAATATTAATATAAATAAATATTATTTGCATTTCAATCAATCTTATTAATTTATAGACTCTCCATGATTCTATTTCTAATCTAAGACAACTAGTTTCTTTAATCTTTTGAGGACGAGGGGTTGCTGAAAAAATAAATTATGAGAAAAGTAGTGTTTAAAGATAATTTTCGCCGAATCCGAATTTGACTTTAGCATTTCGTAATCTAAGATGGCGGATTCAATATCCATCCAATCGTAAAAGTGGTCGAAAATACAAATATCATTCAATATCCATGAAATTTATATTATAGAAATATTCGATGCTCTTTTTAATTCTGAAGACAAAAATTTTAAATTCAAGATGGCGGATCCAATATATCCAACGTTGAAGAGGTTAAAAATTCAAATATTGCTTGAAACCCATATTGAAATTCATATTGCAGAGGTTTTGATGCTTTTTTTGCACCTCAATACCACAAAAACTTTTGTTACTGACAGTTTGGAATAAAGAATATTCACATCTTATTGACATAGTATGCAATAAAAAATATCCACAATATATTTACAGTAAAACTCGAAATTCTTGAGTCATGCTTCTTGCTTCATCAACGCAACATTAATCAAACTTCAAATTTTTAAATTTAAATTCGAAAAGAGCACCATCAAAACTCTTATAATATAAATTTCATAGATTTTGAACAATATTTGCATTTTTTTGACCATTTGGACGACGGCCATATTAGATCCGCCATCTTAAATTTTGAATTTTTGACTTTATCAAAAAGAACATCATCAAAAATTCTTGTATACCAAGAATAAATAGAGCCATAAAAATAAAGTATATGTATGAGTTATACAATAGTTTATGAAATAAGAACGCAGAGCATGTATATGTATATATGTTTCGTTAAAAAGTTAATTATTTTGTTTTGCATATATTTTTATTAAAATTAATGTTACAATTTACTGATACAGCATATGAAAGCGTTTATATTTTTTGTATGTAAATCGATTATGTGCAATAATTATGTAATGTTTAAAGATATTTATTTCAATTCTTTTAAACACATTGTAGTAATATTTAATTAAAAAATTTAAATATAAAATAAATTGTTTGATAAAAAGAGAGAAAATAAATATATTTTAGTAGAATATGTTTCAACACGGGAAATAAATTCCTGTAATAACAAATAAAATATAATATTAAAATACTTTTTTATATATTCTTAAAATTAATAAAGTAAAAGCATAAATAATTAAATTTTAAAATTTCATCATATAACTTCAAATACTTGTAATATATGATATAAGATATCAATTCAATTAAATTTAAAGTAATATTTAAATATTCATTTTAATATAATATAGAAAAAGATTATTGGTAATAAAAGAAAAGTACAGCACCATATGCATAAGAACAAAGTTTCTTATTTATTATTTTGCACAAGTGAAGTATACAATAATGGCCAAATAATTCATAATATCTTTTGAAATTTTTAAATTCTATTGATATATTTAACAACAGAGAAATATCCTTTTTACCGCATCGACTTAGCTACTTTTGTTTGATAATGATGACATCTATTTAATATTCATAAATAGTATAAGAAGGAAAATCGAAGCCAAGGATAGTCTTCAGTATTTCTCTGACAAGATTAAGATCAATCTTTGCAGTAGTCTCTGCGTGTTTCAAGAGCTCCTGGAATTTGGGCTGGGCATGAACCTTTTCGACGAGGGTCTTGAAATTCTGGGATCTCAGTTGTGTCATGAAATTTTTGAACACTTCGGAACTTTGCATCTTTTGATTGTAGAGATTATCAAGTTGATTCTTGTATGGGCGTATGGCAGCTTTGAGATCATCAACGCATCCGCGGAGTCCACCAGTGATTTGTTTATTAACATCAAAAGTGGCTTGAGCGAGTCCAAGCCAATTGTGTACTATTTCTTGTAACTTATGAACATCAATACCAGCGTTATACATATATTCCGTCAATTCTATGAATTCAGGCATTTCTTCAACATTTTTCACCAACTGTTTGACATCGTCGGCCTTAAAGTATTGGATCATAGCCTTAAATTCCGAATCCTGGGCCGCGTATTGATCGATGATTGAAGCTATTTCTTGCTGAGGTAGAATGTCCAAGAAATCCTGAAGCTCCTTTGCAAGCTTACCATGGCCAATATTGGGGATTGTCCATGCGCTGGACATGGCCACGAAGGCCAGTAGTGCCAATGCAAATTTCATCTGCAACAACAAATTTTACTTTTAGATTCTTTTTTTTACAACTTAAGGAGAAACGTTTTATATATAATAAAATATAATTATATTTTATTAAAGAAAATTTAAAAGATTAAATAATACATGAAATTAATTTAATAATCTTTGATTTAGTATATTAATAAAAGTATTAATAAATATTAATAAAA